CACATACTGTACTGCTTCCAACGAATGAATTTGCTCGCTGACGAGATCCGCGTTAGATTCCAGTGATGTTATTCGTGAACCATGATCCGACACCGCAGTTTGAACGAGGTCAAGTTTCGCCTCCAAAGACGTTAATGCAGTTTTAAATTCAGCCGAGAGAGCGGCTCTGTGCTCTTCCAATAAACCTGACAAGGCCGCCATACTAATCTCCCCATGAGCAGCATACGTGTCGTCTTTGGGGGTAGTATCTTTCTTCACTTGTTTAGCTGATTTAAATGCCATTTTCTGCTTCCTTAGATATCAAATATGTTTTCCAACTACATGCAAAACTATTAAATTGGTAGAGGATGGTTAACTGTGAATAAAGGAAATCTTAGCAGGGACCACGAGTTAGACAAGTCTACTCCATTCGCGTCCTGAACCGGAAGTCCCAAAATATCTTTTAACTGTCTTTTTTTGCTGAGAAAGTTTGAAAAATAGACAGATTTTTATTGAAGAGGCCCTTGGTAATTAGCTTTGGAAGGTAGCAGGGGCCACATTCAACCCAAGTGTCAGACTGGTGAAGTGGTCCCTGACAGTATCCTTTATAGAAACATAAAGTACCTAGGCATGGAATAAGGGTCTAACTTGGACAGTGCTTTGAAATTGTGGAAGAACAATAGAACCTTTACATAACAGATGCTTTTGTCCGTAGATGCAAAGTAGATAATACATCACATGCTTACAGAAGTCAGAACCAATTTAGAGCTATACCATTCATTACAAAACAAAGTTGTACATACTCATAAATATGGTCTAATCTTCCTGATGTTATACAAACTAGATTTTCCATATTGGAAGCTGCAAAGTGGCCAGGAAAAAATAGCTGATCATCTAGCATTAGAGCCCTATGTGCCTGGCAGACCTTTATGGACACAGCTGATAAGGTATACAGGCAATGACTATTGAATCTCAATAAGACATAAACACCAGACATTAGCACAACACACTCTGGGCCCCCTCACTTTTTATAGAAATCTACTATTTGTAGTTGTACACATCTAACCTCAGTAGAAATATTTGATGCAACACTCTTGAAATTAAATTATTTGCTGTTTGCACAACTGTAAGTTCAACTACTACTTCTTTTTACAAATCCCATCGTGCTCTCTTTTGAGACATAAACATACAATGCTTGTGGTCCAAGCCCAGGGTCTGGGCATTTGCCTGCCATCCCTGGAACTTTTTGGAGGGTTAACAGCCTAGCTCAAGAGCCTAACGGAAAAGTAACTATCCTGATATGGCTCAAACTATACCTTCCTATCAAAGAGGCTTTGTCCTTTGAGCCAAACACCACCCCCTATTTATGCAGCCATAAATATACTTTTTTCCATTTTAATATTCTGATGTGTACTTCTTTGCAGGGAATGAAAAGTGAGGGAAAAGTGAATGATCATTTTATTTCTTTTTACAGGCTAGGCACAGGTGTTTCATCCTCATCCTGTGCTTTCGTTTAGCCCTGGGTGATGTGCCTGGTCCATGTCGACACTCTGCAACAAAGGATCGTCTTCTGAATCTCAAGCATCTGGTACAGAATGTAGTCTTTCATTTTCCTTTATCTATCTGTTTTTTAAGTAATGCACAGAGATCAAAGTCTCACAGTTTGCAATGTTTTTACTACTGTAAAAACTACTGTAAAAAAAAAGCTACTGTACTTACATTTCAGTTAATACTTTACTCTCTGATAAGATATATATGTATACACACACATAAGCATGTCATTGCATACTATATATTAATAAATTTATTTTACAGATTGCAAACCAGTTGCAAAATGGCTGCTTATTAAACTACACATTTACAAACCGTCAGAATCTGGTAGGCATTTTTTTGATATTCTATTATTTCAGTATTTGATTGGAAGTTACTTTTTTAGCCATATATTATCAAATGATTAGTAACACCTTATTAATAGCTAAGGAGATTAACACTCAAGTATAATTAGTTTCTATGTATGCTTACTAACAGTGGCAGCTCCTCTAACACTACAAAGGAAGCTCTGCCTCCTCTAAAATGTCCCAAAATTTTAATCAAATATGTACTGTTGTATTTACATTGCTATTACAAAAAACATGCCAGAATGTGGTCAACTTCATAGTGTCATGATCCGCTCCGTCCGCTCCTGATGTGTGCCACGCCCACCTCGTTACCTCGTGTTCAGCCCTAATTGTGATCGCCTGTGTCCTGTTAAGTCTAGCTTGTCTTTTGTATTTAGTCCTTGTCTGAGTCAGTCTTCCCCAGACTTGTCATTGTAGTGTCCGTTGATGTCCGTGCCTGTTCGTCCCTCCCTAAATAAACCCCGTTTCCCTGACTACCTGGCTCCGATCGCCTGCCTACCTGCACCGCTCGTCCACGAACGTGACACATAGCTAGTTCGTTCAGAATCAATAATAATTTCTAGCAGGTTTTTTAACATGATTTTTTACTCATACATTACATTCCGGTTGCAGCATGATTCAGTAAAACCTACAGCTTCACTGGACTTCAATGGCACTTCTGTTTTCACTACAGCAAAGCTAGGCATTAATTGGGCAAATTCTTAAAAATCCATTTCCAGGGAAGCTCAGTGTCTGTGGGACTGAATGGGACATCAGAATATGCATTGATTTCAGTGCAGCAAAGTTCCAGGAGCATCTGACTGCAGAATAGTGGATGATCTCCACTAGGAGGACTGCCACTGTGGGTTTGCAATCTCCACTGAGGAGTAGGAAATCGCATGACCTCCACTCTTTACCTGGACACTACTGAACAGAACTCAGTAGGCTGGATTATTAAAGTTAGTTCCCAATGATGTGCTAACATCATATTCAGTGCTATGGAGGCCATGTGATTTCGAGTCCCTTAGTGGACGTATATCCTCCATTATAGAGATAACAGGTATAACAGGATATAATCCCAGTGGAGATAATAAAAGTAATATCCTATCCTATATTATAATAATTCATTTTCATAATATATTATTGTATTGTATATCATAATATTAATTATCATATATATATACACTCACCTAAAGGATTATTAGGAACACCTGTTCAATTTCTCATTAATGCAATTATCTAATCAACCAATCACATGGCAGTTGCTTCAATGCATTTAGGGGTGTGGTCCTGGTCAAGACAATCTCCTGAACTCCAAACTGAATGTCAGAATGGGAAAGAAAGGTGATTTAAGCAATTTTGAGCGTGGCATGGTTGTTGGTGCCAGTCTATAATCAAAGGGGCCGGTCTGAGTATTTCACAATCTGCTCAGTTACTGGGATTTTCACGCACAACCATTTCTAGGGTTTACAAAGAATGGTGTGCAAAGGGAAAAACATCCAGTATGCGGCAGTCCTGTGGGCGAAAATGCCTTGTTGATACTAGAGGTCAGACGAGACTGGGCCGACTGATTCAAGCTGATAGAAGAGCAACTTTGACTGAAATAACCACTCGTTACAACCGAGGTATGCAGCAAAGCATTTGTGAAGCCACAACACGCACAACCTTGAGGCGGATGGGCTACAACAGCAGAAGACCCCACCGGGTACCACTCATCTCCACTACAAATAGGAAAAAGAGGCTACAATTTGCACGAGCTCACCAAAATTGGACAGTTGAAGACTGGAAAAATGTTGCCTGGTCTGATGAGTTTCGATTTCTGTTGAGACATTCAAATGGTAGAGTCAGAATTTGGCGTAAACAGAATGAGAACATGGATCCATCATGCCTTGTTACCACTGTGCAGGCTGGTGGTGGTGGTGTAATGGTGTGGGGGATGTTTTCTTGGCACACTTTAGGCCCCTTAGTGCCAATTGGGCATCGTTTAAATGCCACGGCCTACCTGAACATTGTTTCTGACCATGTCCATCCCTTTATGACCACCATGTACCCATCCTCTGATGGCTACTTCCAGCAGGATAATGCACCATGTCACAAAGCTCGAATCATTTCAAATTGGTTTCTTGAAAATGACAATGAGTTCACTGTACTAAAATGGCCCCCACAGTCACCAGATCTCAACCCAATAGAGCATCTTTGGGATGTGGTGGAACAGGAGCTTCGTGCCCTGGATGTGCATCCCACAAATCTCCATCAACTGCAAGATGCTATCCTATCAATATGGGCCAACATTTCTAAAGAATGCTTTCAGCACCTTGTTGAATCTATGCCACGTAGAATTAAGGCAGTTCTGAAGGCGAAAGGGGGTCAAACACCGTATTAGTATGGTGTTCCTAATAATACTTTAGGTGAGTGTATGTCAAATGCTGCTGAAAGGTCAAGGAGGACATTTTACAGTTTGGCTGCTCTGGCAAAATGTATCTTCTCAGTGACAGCCAAGAGGGCAGTTTCTGTGCAATGTGCTGCTTTGATACCAGATTGGTTAGGATCGTGAAGCTTATTCTGAGAGAGATAGAGAGACAGCTGATTGTAAACTGCGCATTCAAGGATTTTTGAAAAGAGAGAAGTGATACCGGTAGTAGTTGTTGATGTCTGAGGGATTCAGTGTTGGTTTCTTCAGGATGGGAATAACCCTGGGTTTTTTGATTGCCATTGGTATATGACCAGATGTTACATAGTGGTAATGAAAGGGAGAAGGTCTTGATTGATTGTCTGGAGCATTGTGGAAGGGATTGGATCCAGTGGGCAGGTGGTAGGATTGAATGATGAGATGACATGCAGGATCTCTTCTGCTGATACATTGGAGAATTGAGCCAGCGAAGAGGAAGGGAAATCCTTAATGTGTAGTGTAATAGATGGGGTGGGAGAGAATTTCTGACAGATTTAATCAATCTTCTCATCAAAGAAGTTGGTGAAGTCTTCGGCAGTCAGGGAGGATGGAGCAGGAGGAGTTGGCAGCTTAAGTAATGCCGAAAAGATGTTATAGAGTTTGCGAGAATTATATGCAGAGGTTTCCAGTTTCTCCTCATGGACAAGAGTGTTTGGTAAGAAGACAGATCTTTGTCAAGTTGTGATATCTTCCACTTCCTCTCAGCTGTTCTTAGTTCTCTTTGATTGATACACCACACATCTAATAGCCAAAGAGCAGGGTGAGTTTTCTTCCTGGGTTTGGAAGATAATGGGCAAAGGCGATCCATGGATGAAGAAAGTGAGGAGAGAAGAATGTTAGTTGCTGACTCAAGTGGTAGGGAGGAAAAAGAGTCAGGGTCTGGAAGTTATGATACGGTGCAGGAAACAACAAAAGAAGGGGAGACACAGTGGAGGTTTTGTTGAGTGGGGGAGAAATATTCATAGTTCGGTTTATGCAGGGTGGGTAGGCTTATTCTAAAGGATAGAAAGTGATGATCAGAGATGTGAAGTAGGGTAGCAATAATCTCAGAAGCTGGAGAAGGATGGCTGAAGATCAGGTCCAGGGCATTACCTCCTTTGTGCATGGGAGAGTAGCTGTTGGATGTCAACAGAATAGGGAAGAGGGATAAGGAAGGAAGATTGTACCTTATTGAGGTGGAGTGTTTTCAGTAGGGAAGAGAATGAGGAGTATATCCATTTCTTCAAGAAAGTGATCTAAGGGACCAGGAGTGTGGTAGATGATAATTATGAGAAGGTTTATCAGACAAGCAACTGCAACTGCATTGAATTCAAAGGATGAGACATTAAGATGGGACAGAAAGAGGGGTGTGTAGCACAAATTCTGAGACAGCAGCAGATCTGTACCACCGCCCCTCCTAGTTTCTCGTGGAGTGTGAGAGAAAGCATTAGCAGATGAAAGAGTTGCCAGTGTAGCTGAGCTCTGTGGAGATATCCAGGTCTCTGATAGAGCCAGAAATTCAAGAAAGTAATAGGAAGCAATGGCGGAGATAAAATCAGCCTTCTTTGTAACAGACTGAAAGTTCCAGAAAATCACCTACCACCCTTGTCTGAGACTTGGACAACAGGGGAGGGTAGATAAGGTTGCTGGTGGTACGGCCTCTTGATATTAATACATTTTGCCAATTTGTGCGAACAGTTTGGTGAAGGCCCTTTTCTGTTCCAACATGACTGTGTCCTAGTGCACAAAGCAAGGTCCATAAAGACATGGTTGGTTGAGTTTGGTGTGCGACAACTTAGCCTGCACAGAGCCCTGACCTCAATCCCAACACATTTGGGATGAACTAGAATGAAGATTGCGAGCCAGGCCTTCACATCCAAGATGTGCCTGACCTCAGAAATGCTCTTCTCACGTAAACTTGTGGAAAGCCTTCGCAGAAGATATACACAACTGTTATAGCTGCAGAGGGGGGACCAACTTCATATTGATGCCTATGGATATAGAATGGGATGTCATAAAAGTCCCTGTAGGTGTAATGGTCAGTTGTATCAACACTTTTGTCCACAGTGTACTACAGGAACATACTAGTCCAACCAATCACATAATTTTGGCTGCAGAGACTCATGAGCTGATTTGGGTGATATCCAAAAGAAGACATGTAAATTGCACACCCAGCAAGTTAGGAGCAGACATCAAATCCCCAAACCAAATAAGCATGTGTGTTTATGTGTGTGTATTGTGAATTTTGCTGTATACAAATTATATATTGCTATTTCTGTTATTTCTGTCATGTACATATAATGGGCAAGGCTTTTGGTATAAATATTCACCACCAAAAAAATATGAATCTTCTGAAAATTTAGGCAAGGCTCCTTAAAAAATGCTACTTATGATTAGAATTTTTTATAAAATCATTCTGATTTACTTGTTATTTTTATTCTATTTTTTCTTTTCTATTTATATATGTATAATAGAGCGAAATCTGCTATGTCAAAGCAGCCTTTCCCCAAATCCTGGATCTTCTCAAGAGTCACTTCAAGTATGACCGGAGTTCGGATAATTTTCGTTATGTCAATGCATTAACAAATATGATCTTCAATATCTACTCTCAAAAATGTATTCCTGAAATTAACGAGGAATATGAGGTGAGTGTCTCTACCTTACTGAGCTGCACAATCTGTAGTTGCTTGTATCTTTGATTATAGGCCCTGGGGAAAAGCTCAGCCTCTCAGCTGTTTGCCAAACGATAGCCATGGTTAACTTCACTACTTAGCTGTCTTTCATAGTAGTCTATAGTTCTTTACTAACAGGAATTGGCAAAGTGTCTGTGTAAATATTGAAAGATCCTGTATATTATTTATCTGACACCAATTATGAATACTCAGGAGAATTTTCTCACCAAAGTATATTGAAACTCATATACATCCATCATGTGATGTTAAACTCTACACTATATATCATTAAAGGTAATATAATCTAATGAAATATGGCATACAAATGGTAAGATACTTTATATGACAAGTTATAAACTTGAATTTCCACAAATGAATCTGTTTAACTGAATAAATGTTGTATATTCTTTTTCATCTTATTGGGTGTGTTACATGTGTTCTTCTTTGAAATATCCATGAAATCAACTATAATGATTAAAATGAAAAAATGGGTTTTTCATCTTTTTCAAGGATCATCCAGTGAAATTTACCAAAGCCTACAGCAGTTCTCCACAAGAGGTGCTAGAAAAAGTTCAAGAAGTCATCATGATGTACATGGACTTGATGACAGAGAATAATGCACCAGTTAACTGGAACTGTGCACAAGAATATGCCAAAGATTACCCAGAATCCATCACAGGGTCCACCCAGAGTATAGGTAGAGTAAAACTTGCATCTAAGGCACAACTTGCATCACCTTGGTAACAGTGGTAAATTGGCTCACAAAAGTAAACTACACCATACAAAAATCTGGATTTAAATTTTACATTTTTTTGCATCACGTCTCCATAAATTTCCATTTCATCCCTATTGAATCTGAACATCACAAATCTTTTTTCAGGTTTCCTATAGGTCCCTACTACATAATGCCATTGCTCTTGCCCAACTTTAGGCCATGGACCCTCTAATCATGTTTCTATGTTGGCCACCAGCTCATGGAATGACATGACAAAGCCCACCTTCTTTCAGTCAAAAATACCCCTGCATTCCTTGAGGCCTACCCAACCCCCCTTTTGAGCTTATTCCTTGAAGCATTGTCAATTTCTAAATCCTGATATTGACGGCCCTTCGAAAATGGGGGTGGCTATCTCCTATGCTCCAAAAAGACCTGGGAATATATTTGGATATCTCAAAGCTGCTGTTAGTGGATGCCTGCCTGACTTAAACCCTGCATCTTCTGATGAAGAAAAAAAATGGCTTCTCTACTACAAACAGAGTAGTCACTAGTACTACTAGTACTAGTTCAGTCTCTGTTCTTCCTGAGATCACTCAGCTCTTTGATGAGACAGTAGTTTTGTTTATGCCAAAACAAGCACACAAGTCACAGAAGTGTTAACTGATGATACTGGCTCAGTTAGTGACAAGTCTTCCACGGCAACTTTAGGGTTTACACAGAGCCACAAAAAATGGAGTATCTGCTCTTGATGAATCATTACAGGAGAAAGACCTAAAATCACACAGCAGTTCCATCTCAAAGGAAACCACGAATCAGTCAAACACACCTTTGCATTTTAAAGAAGCCCATGATGGTGTCATTCCAGATAGAGTGAATGAGAAGACAACTGTAATAATGATCAAGAGATTGATTAACCCCAACCTAAATCAGTTACATTCTGAGACTAAATCTGAAACATGTACAGCTTTTAACTCTTTAATGGTGCCAAGTCCAGTGGCTAAAATTGCTAAAGAAAATACATTTTCAACAAATATTCCTAGTCATTCCAAACATGTTATGCTAACTTCATAAGGATCTAAAAAAAGTATGGGCACAGCATCATCAGACATTCTCAGTCTAAAATCAACCCTTGCGCAAAATACTTTCTTACAAAACTTTCTCATAATTTACATGCACAGTTTGTCGTACCATCAGTATAAAACAATGACTCGATATATGTCAGGACTACAGATGCGACAATAATTGGTTCAGGTAATGTAGTTTTACCCAGCTTTTTCTCATTTGTATAAAACACATATTTTTGCATGGATTATAAATCGCAGTTACTCAGCTGTCAACATCCTGCCCAAAGGATTTCAACTTTTAGTTATGGAGTGACTGAAGAAGAACTGTGGAGGAACTGTCTCAAATTGCTGAGAATACACAGCTTTTGGCCCTCTAAGCACAGCTTTGAACTAGCATGATCCAGTGACTTACAAATTGCATTATTGTCATAAAGTTTGCTTAAACGTTGTGTTTTGCTAATATTTATTCCATATTTATTAATTCCTGCTGTTCAAGCCAGTATGAAGAGGATATGACTCTTTTTTAAATAGTTTTTCATAGTGTACAGTACAACAAACCTCGCAAAACTTACCCGGTTTCATCTGTCTTCAGGTCAAAGACAGGGTGGCTTCCCACTTAATAAAGAACAAAACTCATCAAGTGTTGGTGACTCAGGGAAGGAAACCCAGAGCAACACATCAGAGCACAATATGTTTTATAAAACAGCCTTCATACTGGCTTTAGTATGTGGAGGACTGCTGCTAACAGCTACTGTCTACTGTTATAAAAAGGTAATTGTACTTATCACATCATCACTAAGAATATATCAGCAATACTATATTGTCAGACAAACCATCTGTGACATCATTTAGTAATGTCAGAAAACAAAGGGTTCCAAACTGTGTTTTAATTTGAAATTTGTCAAGAAGGTTAATACTCAAAAAACAAATAAAGTTTAAGCTTGAAAAAAAAAATACATGGGCATCATTAAACACCCCATGCAACAGATTTCCCAGAGCAACACATATCCTGAACTGTTTTATTATATATTACTTGTCTGGAATGGTTTCTACTACATTCAGCCACCCTGCAACACAGGGGTCACAGGGGGCCTGGAGCAGTTTTCAGACGGCATACAGCACAAAGCAAGGCCATCTGTCAGATGGTGTTCCAGTCCATCACATGGCTATAAGAAATGTAGAAACACCATTGGTCTAACTGAAACTCCATGAAAGGGACATGCAATTTTACAAAAAACTACTCCGTTACAGTAAGAGTAAATTTACTCGATTACTTTCCACCCCTGGATGCAACTGGATGAATATTGTCAAAGTTTGATAAAGCATTAATTTCATTATTTAACTGTCTTGCATAATGTTGTAAAATATAATAATGACTTATGAAATCTACTTGAAAATCTACTTGAGCTGCAGGGATCACCGTTCTCTGAAAGATTTATATGTTAATACCATATTTTTTATTTACAGAAACTCCAAATACTTCATAACATCAAACTGACTGAAAACCAGAGGTAAATGACTTATAGTATATAAAGGCCTGAACTATTAAGAGACAGCTCATATGTTTTAGTAAAATTTTTGTCATGCTAAAACGCTACTGCTAAACAATAACTAAATACACTTTTATATACACTTTAATAACTGTGCTGTGTCTGTCTGAAATACAAAGAATGGAATTTTGGCCTATTTATCGACTAAAGTTTAAACCTAAGTGAGAATATCAGGGAGGCATACACGAAAGTGGGTTTGGGTTTAAACAATTTTCCGGCTGCCATATCTTTCAACAAAAGTGAGCAGCACAGTTATTAATGTTTTGCGAGATCTTGCAAATGTTTATCTTTTTTTTTCTTCCTCCCATGTCCCCTCCCGGGCTCCGTACTTTAGCAAATACACTGCAATAATTACAGCTGAACTTTTGAACATCAAAATTCGCTGTAACTGATTAATTCAACATGGAAATTTATGAAATACTTTTATTGTTTAAACATTGTCTGATCTGTATGTTAGAGTTTACAAAATGTTTCTTTTGTAGATTTATTTGTGTGGTCTTCATTTTGTAAAACTCCCTTTTTGACTAATTATTGAACGTTGTGCAGTTCTCTCATTTGGTGCAACCATATGATCATATGGCGTAAACAAAAGGAACTGAATTAAATCAAAAATTACATTTTTAATTACTAGGGATCAAATATGAATCACAGTGATGCCATATGTGTATGTTGATAGCATTGTTATACCATTTTCATTCATTTTATGGGTTTTAGAGTAAAAATTGGTTTGTAGATTCTAAGAACACCAGTGAAAGGTGAACATGAATCTATAATTGATAAAAGAAAAAAGAAGGAAACCATCTTTTTCAGGACAACTTATTGTACTACTGATGCTTTGTTAAAACATTATGCATATAAAGAAAATATATTATTTTTAGATTTGGTCTCACCACATATTTTTTTTAATGGCATGGAATGTAATATTGATGAAAATATTGCTAAATTCACTACATTTCATGTTTTGTACATGACAGGATATTTAAAGAGTTGCCAAAAATATATTTATTTCTGACACTATGACAGAAGTTCATTTCAACCACTTGTATCCAGCATCTAATTCTTTTGGTCACTACCAAAAGCTTATGACCAAGGGTGAGGGTAGGAATGTAGATTAACCAATAAATCAATAGCTTAACCTTCCAACTTAGCTTTACCTCAAAAAACTGATACAATGCCTGCATAACTGCTGATGCTGCACCATAGTTCCCTCACTCATGAACAACCCCCTTCATGAATTTCCACCTTATCGTGGTGGAGGGCTTAGTGCGCCTCTGTAATCCTAAAAGCATATTTATACATATTCCTTAAAATTTACTTAATCTCATATCATACTCCAAGGAGGAGTCATTTGGATCATTTTGTTTCTTATGGTCCTAACCTTTAAAAGTTTTGTCTATGACAATTCTCAACCAAGTAACCTCTGCTTGTGCAGTTGGCTCTCAATCAGCCTCAGGACTTTGGGGTGGCCTACCTGCTTATTTCTTGCTCTGCCACTTATCCTCTCTCCAGTAATACAGTTGTCTGCACATCTCTCTTTCAGTTAGGTCAGCTACTGTCTTCAGTTTACCTTACTCTTTAAACTCCTTTTGTTTCTGGCAGCCTAACAAAAATGCAAGAATTTTAATGAGCCTAGTATTGATGTTTTTCGGTAGGGGATAATCTTGCTATTTTCCTGTCTCACACAAATAGATTTATTTTAATGCAATAATTAAACAGTTATGCTATAGTGTGGGACAATGAAACTGAGAAGAAGAGGAGCTTTGGGGATTTATAAAAAAAAAAAACACTGAACCACCGCAGCTGTAGAATTTACTGGAAACTGAAATTTGTTAAAAAGGTTAGCAACATTTTTATATGACACCAACAACAAGGTGTAAACAACAAAAAATGTTCAGATGTTTAGTGTAATTTATAATGAAAATGGTATGTCCCTAGTAATCTTAATGACATCGTTATTATTTTTAAAATAAGTAAATGGGTGATCTGCTTTAATGTAAAAGGTGTTTTATAATCTCTGGTATATTGAACAGGTAATTTACATATTTTACATGCGCAGATGTGATCAAGCGGGCGTGTTATTTTACTTTAGACAACCACAATGTTTCACCATACAACATATCATGACAACAAATTAATATTATACAGTATAATCCCATCATAGTGGACTTGCTTATTATGGAATATTGTCTATAACGGGCGAGGTCCGCTGGTCCTGGCCGTGCGCCTTTATGAACATGCAGAAAAACCATTGGATATAGCGGACTCGCATATAACGGAATTTCGCTTGTAGCGGACAAACAATTTGGTCCCCGGGGCCGCTTTTAGCTGTAGTTTTGTTCGGCTATAACGGACATGCAGGTGATATCCAGTGGAGATACGTTGTCGGGATTATTTATAGTCACACTCTATAAATAGGCATGGCGTAACAGCAGGCAACACTGATTGGTCTGTATGGCACAGGCACGCCGTGTGTTGGCAGACGACGCTCACAGCTGGAGGGATGCAGTAAGCAATGAGGTCAAGGTTACTACTGTACCCTACATGTATAACAACTTATAGGCCATATATACTTCCAACAGTCAGGTAAAGTTGGATTACTATATGGACAATATAATAATCTATACTAAGTGTGTCTGCTGGGGTGTGGCATGAGTAAATGGTGTTCTGTAGTTGTGTTCTGGGCATACAGCAACTCGGGATATAATGGACATTGGATATAATGGACTGTTTTGCCAGATCCCTTAAAGTCCATTATAACGGGATTAAACTGTATACCGTATTTTTCGGACCATAAGACGCACCTTTTCCTCCCCCAAAAGAGGGGAGAA